TTGTCAAAAACAGGGACCCATTGGACCCATTCTTCACACACTAAACGCACTTATTATTCAATTTCATCGAAAGTGACGAAAGGAAAGCCATTATTTGTCATATAATACAAGATTGTTACCAATTCTGCACCCATTCATTGCATTCAATGTTATTTCACGTTATTCTTATCAAATAGTTTTATAGCACTTATTAAATACAAGAGTTCATACAAATCAACATTCAATAGAAATATTGCCAGACTTAGAAGTTATAACTTCTTTAAATTCATTTCAAATTTCAATTTAAATCAAATATTTATTCACAACTATAACACTTAAGCAATTTTCTATAATATAAAATTATTTTGTAAGATTAAAAATGATAAATTTTTGATTTTATTTAAATGTTTTAATATTTACTCGCTCGTAAGAAATTATTATGGTTAAGTAAAAACTAAAAAACAATATTTCCTCAATAAATGCAATAAATATTTGTTACTTGTTTACATTTGATTTCGAATACAATTTAATAGTTTACTGTAATCTATTTTAAATAACATTAAGTTAATATTCCCATGACTTATTACATAAATGTAACAGACAACAGTACTGCACCTAAATGTAACTGAATGATTCAATTGATATCACTATTAAAAAAAACTCAAATTAATTTTTGTAATCAACCTAAACTTTAAATAATTTTACCGGTAACACTTATATATAATTATATATAAAACCGACTCATTTACTAATGGATTGAAAGCTACTTGAAAATTGAATACAATTCAGGCACAGGTATTGTAAACGTTATCAAGTCTTGTAAGTTGACTATTTGCATTACTATATAATACTACAGTAAATAATATTTATAAACTTAATTATTAAAATGTATAATAATTATGTTGTTAATTTGCATTGGTAATTTAATACTGTATTATATTTATGTACCGTAAATAAATATTTAATAATATATCACTTAATAAGCGTTTTTAATAAATAAACAATTCAAGTGATTTGGTATTAAAAATGAATAACTTTTATTAAATTTATTAAATAAATACTTTGCATAAAAACAGTCAATAATTGAAATATATTGCAATATTGTCTCATATAATGTATAAATAATTGAAAATCTCATTACAATAACTGGATCCGAAGAGCTGTGAGCGTCAGGTGTGTGAGTGTCACTGAACTGAGTGCGGAGTCCGGCCACACCTTTGGTGGTGTTTGGGTCGAGGGGTTGTCGTTGTATCCGTCGGATCCGATTCGGTTCGTTACGTCTGAATTGAATCATTCGCTCGAAGTCTATGACATACACGAAGCCAGCGATCAATACTTCCACGGAAGACTCGTTGGCTTTGAAGGCCTTCTGTATGTCCCTCGAGGTGCGGCAGTCGTAGAGCCACCAGCCGTTGCGGCCCTCGTATTGCCACGACATGTGCTGCTCATCCATGTGCTGCGAGGCCGTCCACTCGACACCACCGATGAGGTCAGGGCTGTCGAAGTAGTCGTGAGCGATGGGGTGGCGACAGACGGGACATCTGTGCGACGACTGTTGGGCCGACCCTTTGGCGCACAGGAAGCAGAAGACGTGAAGACATTGAAGGCGTACGCCATTCACGCAACGGTCCAAACAAATGGCGCACTCAATCACATCACTCATACCCGGATCACTCACGACAGACATCACCACAACCACCACTCTCTGGTTAAGTACTTATTGGTGATAATAAGCACTGCATTTGTGTGAAGTAACCGTCGGTTCAGTCATTGGATCCCAAAGTGACTGACAATTGACACACAAATCACTGCATCAATGACTCAATCGTCGCATTCAATGACACATGAAATACGTGTCACAACACAGACAACACATCCATTGGTTTTGACATTCATTTCGTGTATTATTCACTATTTCTACACTAATTGACACAAAATGGTCACAAAATGAGACAATAATTAATGATTGAATTGATTGTGTCTTCAATTGAATGGAAATCAATGAAAATGAATGCAATTTTGAGACGTTTTATGTAATGAATGAGTGATTGACTCAATGTATGTAAACATTGCACGAAAATAGTAAACACTGTTTTCATTGAGTCATACGTTTTGCCATTACTTTGGGTTTCAATTGAATCACAATTGAATAATCATTTAATTATTATTCAAATCATTTGAATTGATAGTTATTTTTATAGTCATTATTACTATTAGTGTATCAAATGGATAAGCATTTGATGAATGGTTTCAATGACATGAAGAGTGAGAAGTCCAACGATAACCACATTTTAGACAACTTCTCGCACGTTATCATTGAATACCATTTGATGAGAGAATTGTAATTATATTTACATTCATTTTATTTAATTGATCATGGTCATCATTATATATAACTAATTTCTATATATATCTAGTATATTATACCGCAACCAACACATGTCTCACGTATATGTCGTTCCCTCCCATTCCTCACCATTTCGTAAGTGTTTGACCACTAATTGTGGCCTAAATTGTGATCTAAATTGTGATCATTTGTATGATTATAATCGTAATTATATTGCATTTGATTGATAGTATGGTTTGGAGTGATGTTTGTCCACAAAGGCCTCTATCGGGGGATTGTATTGCGGTTCACAGTAGTCATCCCTAACACATACCCTAACTGTGAAATACCGGTGCGTTTTCATGCCACTAATCATTTGGTTGAATAGGTTTTACTTAAATACATGTTTTATGCGATCATTAAACAGAAGCTGATCTTCGATGCCATCCCTTTCCATCCACTCGTCAATCCAAATACGGGTGAACTCAACACAAGTGTGGCATTCAATGAGTGGAAGTCATCGGTGAACAAGATTTGGCAAATCATTGATTACTCGCAGCGAGTCTTTCAATGCTTTGATTTCAGCGATTGTCTCCAAAACGAGTCGTTAGTCTCAAGCGATATGTTGAACACAAAAGCCATTGATTTGTATAAACAAGACTTCGAGGCCTTTCAGAGGAAAGTGACGCAAACTATACGCGAATGCCATCAGAAGATCAATGAATGTAATAACGATGACTCGAATGCCATTGTTTTCGGCTCTTTTGATGCCGACATTCATCAGGAGTTGCGAAACAAACTGCTGTCTGGGGTTAATGTGATTGAAGAGAGACAGTTGGCTGACCCGACACACCCGTCCGTCACTGGCCTGTCATGGGTTCAGAGCGGGTCCACTCAAATGTTCTCGAAATCTGGCGCTTAATTGCTTGCCATAGCAATGGATGGAAAACAATGAGATTTTCAATTATTTATACATTATATGAGACAATATTGCAATATATTTCAATTATTGACTGTTTTTATGCAAAGTATTTATTTAATAAATTTAATAAAAGTTATTCATTTTTAATACCAAATGACTTNAATGAGATTTTCAATTATTTATACATTATATGAGACAATATTGCAATATATTTCAATTATTGACTGTTTTTATGCAAAGTATTTATTTAATAAATTTAATAAAAGTTATTCATTTTTAATACCAAATGACTTGAATTGTTTATTTATTAAAAACGCTTATTAAATGATATATTATTAAATATTTATTTACGGTACATAAATATAATACAGTATTAAATTACCAATGCAAATTAACAATATAATTATTATACATTTTAATAATTAAGTTTATAAATATTATTTACTGTAGTATTATATAGTAATGCAAATAGTCCGACCAATATGCAACTTACAAGACTTTTAATAACGTTTACAATACCTGTGCCTGAATTGTATTCAATTTTCAAGTAGCTTTCAATCCATTAGTAAATGAGTCGGTTTTATATATAATTATATATAAGTGTTACCGGTAAAATGATTTAAAGTTTAGGTTGATTACAAAAATTAATTTGAGTTTTTTAAATAGTGATATCATTCAGTTACATTTAGGTGCAGTACTGTTGTCTGTTACATTTATGTAATAAGTCATGGGAATATTAACTTAATGTTATTTAAAATAGATTACAGTAAACTATTAAATTGTATTCAAAATCAAATGTAAGCAAGTAACAAATATTTATTGCATTTATTGTGAAAATATTGTTTTTTAGTTTTTACTTAACCATAATAATTTCTTACGAGCGAGTAAATATTAAAACATTTAAATAAAATCAAAAATTTCTAATTTTTAATCTTACAAAATAATTTTATATTATAGAAAATTGCTTAACTGTTATCAATAGTTTTATAGTTGTGAATAAATATTTGATTTAAATTGAAATTTGAAATGAATTTAAACAAGTTATAACTTCTAAGTCTGGCAATATTTCTATTGAATGTTGATTTGTATGAACTCTTGTATTTAATAAGTGCTATAAAACTATTTGATAAGAATAATGTGAAATAACATTGAATGCAATGAATGGGTAGTCTTAACCATTGTTAGAACATAATATACTGTTTATTACCGAAAGGAAAGCAGTGAAAGCTACTTTAACTTATTATTCACGCAAATCACACACTTCTTACCCAGGTTACCCAGGGACAAAAACTGTTTTCTGTCACTTTCTTATCCGCCAACTCCTAGTTATGGGTCAAGTATTTGTCACTTTTCTATTGAGTGCTCAATATTTGTTTGGAGCGCACAAGTAGTCAGAAAATATGTTTTTATGAGTTTTGCACAACAAACCTTATTGTGATGTTGAAAAGCTTTTACTTTTAAGCTCTTGAATTATATAAGCAGTTAAGATATGCGACACTTGAAAGTGGGACTCCTTATGAATTTCAATACACAATCATTGTTAGTCCATAAGTTTAGGTCAACTCAACACCAATTATGACTTAAAAAGACTATTAAATAAAATATTTTAATATATCGGCCAAAATTGTAGTCACAGGTCTGACAAACAGCTGCCGGATATGTGATCGCAAAACATTAGTGTCTAATAATTGAAAACATAGTAAAATCATTATGTTGGACTGTTTAATAGTAAATGATATTTTTATCAGAATATTATGCATTCATTGCTTATTAATGATTGAAACCTATAATTATGGTTATAATATCGATTCTATGTGATACTAGAGTTTATTTTTATATGTATATCAAATAACATGCTCATTTAATTGTATGACTATTTTGTTTGATACTTTCTTTAATTCTTTACTAGAATTCAAATATATTTACAATGTTTCTCACAAAAAAAGACAACATTATTGCATTACGATTAAAATAACAGGAATCTGAAACTATTAAATATCTATTAAGTTATAATGACATTTATTAATTCAAATAATAAATTGTTCCCTCAATATAGAAAGGACTAATAATTGACTAAATCCTAAATTGACTAAATTGTATTTATTTGTATTTTAAAATAATCACAATATATTTTAAAATGTTACACAATATTCTAAATTATTATCATCTTATTTAGAGATATGTTATGTTAAACACATAATTATAAGTTGTGAATATCTTACTGTACTAGTTTTGCTTACAATTTGTTCACTGTCTCGTATATTAGACTCTAATAATTAGAGTAATATCAATGTATAATACTGTATATTAAAACAACCTTACAGAATTCACTTTGCACTATAACTTACAGGTATATGATATGAGAATATAAAAGGTTTCTAATTAATTGATTGATCACTAAATTTAGTATAATGCTACCCAACAGTGATTCCAAGTTATGAATTGCACTTGGTAAAAGGAAATGAATCGGGAAGTTGAGAACATTTTTTTCAGGGAAAACTATTTTTAGTTTTTATGAACATTTGATGTCTTTTTTCTAAAATACATTAACTATTTGCGACTACCGTTCAGTTGTTTACTACAAATTCACTAATCTTTACTGTAATTGCAGTGAATGTGTGCACCGAAAATAATAGCACACATTATGGGACTAAACGTAAACCGTCTCAGTTTTTTAGTGCATCAGTACTTGAGTTTAAAATCGGTTTAAAGCTTAATATAAATGTGAAATTTGTTTAATGATTATCACTTGCGATAATCTTGCGATAAGTTGGCGCTTTCAATCAAAAGTTATATATGAAGGGGAAATGAATACTTGTAATACAGTTGAGTACGGAGTGGAGTATAGGGATAGCCCGGTGTAGACGACAATCACTGAGAAATAGAGATAATGGACATCGGGTTGAGAACTGAGCAGATTTGAGCTCCGAGTGAATGTCGTTTGTTTGAACTGATGCGCCCAACACTCGCTGAACCTACCATTCCCTTCCCTTCCCTTCTAGCCATACATTTAGCGATAGTCTGTCTAAAAGGGGCTCTTTTTTGTGAACTACTATTTTATAATCCGGAACAATCGCTTTTGCTGTGCTTACTATAATAATAAGTCTATTCATTGGACTCTCACTAGTCATAGGCTCCGTAGGCTAACAGTACAGTGCCTTTCCATTCGGTGATTCCCTTATTGATGAAAAGGTTTGTCTTTTAATCGGATTTTATGGCATAATTTGAACGGCTTTTCCAGTTGTTAAGGACTTGACTGATGCGCTGAACACCACTTGTCTGAACTGTTGTGATTGGCCATCATTTCACCATTTCTTTCAATTCGGTGATCAGTCCGACTCATGAGAGAGCAGACAACTGTCCAAACGGTGCAAAACAAGACAATTTGATACGGCTTTGCAATAACACTAATACATGCCTTACCTCTAAGTCTAGAAATACCTCATCTGTTAAGAGCAGAAATTCCTGCGAATATTCTCAACACTCATCCGGTATTTGTTGACTACAGGGTATGGGCGCCCGAGTACTGCACCGGTGATCACATCACCAAAACAGTGACCAAAATGGTCTCGAAGTGATTAAAACACTTAAATTGTTTTCATGCTTTGGTTCGCTGAGGAACAGGCGATCGTTTGAATGCATTCACGACTTTTAACATAAATATCCTAAAAATGGATATATTTTTCAATCACAGAATCGCTAATATAATAACTTATGTGAAGTGATTGCGAGAATTAATACAATGGTCAGTAAGGCTTTGGCTATTTTTTGAGCGAACCTATAGCCTAGAACCTAGAACCTATTGTGGTGTTTGTATCGATATTTTAACCCTATTGTGCTTTTATGACCCCCGATGTCCCCGATGTCAAGAGATGAAAGCAGCTGTTGGTGTGTTTGGGCGTTACGTTTACCACTTCATGCACTTTCAACGCCAGGGGTCAACTCCGGGAGGTATTGATGGATATGGATATGACTTCTTTGGGTGGGAAATGAAGAAATGTTCAGCCAAATAGCCATCACATAAATAGCCCCATTGACAGCATATGCATGAGTAGAGGCGCTGTTTGGAAACGGTTACCGCGTTTACTACAATGGACTGACAGCTATGCCAGTAGTCTGTCCTACAGTTCACCTCTTCATTCATGGAAAACCTGATAAGACTTAGTGTTTGCTATTTTACTATTCA